CTCATTTTATTAATGACTTTTATTGAAACACAAAACACATTTACAGTGTAGTTTTGTTTAGATGTTATGTGAACAAAATAAATAAACCTCCAAGTTACAAGTCTTGTGAGTTTTCTAGTCTCACCAGTTTCAGAAGAGGTTTGGCTTCTTTGTCTCAAAAATCCCCCAATTCAAACTCCCAAAGCCTTCAAAGGAAAATAAACAGAGGCTTTCTCTCAGCATTTACACTTCATCACAAACAGACTGTCAGGTTTGAGGTGGATGGTCAGTATCACAATAACTCACTGCTCTCTGATTTTCTGTTTGCTCTTCTCCACCAAAAAATCTCTCAGGTCTTCAGCAGTGATGTGTGGGATTTTGCTTTCCTGCTGAAGACTGAGGAACTCCATCATTGCAATCTAAAAATAAAAGGAGACATTTAAACATCACCACTCTCAGGTCCTGAGAAATCACCTGATATTTTACATGAGCTTTGGTTTGGATGGATCTCAGTCTTAACTGAGCCCTGTAGCCTGGAAGATGCCAGCAGTGTTGTTCGACATGAACAGCACCTGTCAAAGAAATAAGAAGTTACCGATTGTTACTTAAGTTGATTCTCAGTCTGTCAGCTTTTAAAACTACGTCAAATTCTTTAAACTGCTAAAATGCAGAAGAAGGAAAAAACCTGTCATATACCCTGATGGGTTTGTAGATTCCTCTACTTGCTTCAGTTGAAATGTAGTTGTTGTGTCACAGTCGGGAACACAAACTGTCAAATAGCGTCCAAATTGTGTAAATTGTGTAATGTGAAATGCCGAAATGAAAAAACTCTGAGCTCGATGGTTTCTGTTGTACAGATGAGCTGTTTTTAAAGTCTGATTAAATTAAATTAAAGTCAGATTTATTTTTATTTTATTTCATTTATTTAATATTTATTTAATGCAGAATTCTAGAACGGTCACCATGGAAATACTTGATGCAAGTTTCATGTTATAAAATTAAAAGAAAACACTTTATCTACATTACACTAAACTTTATTATCATATAAGTAGATAAGTGAAGGCTACAGGCGTCCTTAAGTTACTCCTGTGAAAAGATGCAACATGGTGAATCAGAAAAGACAGAAAGTTGCTCTGCAGCATCGTGTCCTTTTATATTATTTGCCTGCTTATCTCCACTTTCTTACTGTAGATGTGAACATGAGCAGTAAAACAATGGTGGAGGGGACTAATGCATACATTTGAAGGCTGACAGCATGTAAACTGGCCCTTTAAACAGTCCAGAGGGAGAAATCTCTGTGTAATCTGTAGAGTCTAAAGCACAATAATAATAGCACCCTAAATAATGAGGTCATTAATTACTAGGATACCTACTGTTGGAGTCAAATTGTTAAATGTTGTCATTGTGTTACTTAAATTTGTAAGTCTTAGTTCAAACTATAGGATCAAAGACATTCCTTTGTCTCATACCACCTCTCCAGCCACTCTGTTGGTGGGGGAGGCTGAGGTGTTTTATTATAGGCGCATCCTATCTGGAAGTTCTGTTTCTTGTGTGGTAAGCTTCCTGCTTTTATTACCCTTTTGGTGAGCAGGAGGTCACACAAACGCACCCCGAAACACATTCTCACACTCACATACCTATACACACACACAAACACATTCTCACACATACATGCATACACGCACACACGTTCTCGCACATGCATACACATTCACACACGTGCTTACACGTACACACACAGTGCCTTGTCTTTTGTAACCATAGGGGGGTTTTACAATGGGAGGTGCTTGTGTGTACTGTAACTGCTGTGTAAACTGTGTGTCTTGGAAATAAAAGGCTGCGAGGAAGGCTGCTTAGATGAAGTTGGTTAGAAGACAGGTGAGGAGCGTTCAGCTCCAAGAGCTTGGGTTCCGACCAGTCTTCCCTTGCTAGCAACCAAAAGATGTTTGTCTTGTTTCTGTCGTTAACGAGAATAAGTTTCTAAACTAGCGGGGCCTGTGGAAACGCAGACCCAACACCTACTGCCATGGTTTTTTTTAGTAATATATCTCTCATGTTTTCTTAGTAATGTGTCTCACATTACTGATGTTTAGAGAGGCCTTGTTATGTTTCACGGGAGTTCAGGAG